TTGATACTAAAGAATACATATCATGTCTGATTTATGTTCTTGGATTCTGATTCGAAGGGGACGCCCACTTTGGCCAATGTAATGTTTGTTGCAGTTCATACAATTTATTTTGTAAATGGTATTAATTTTATCTCCTTTTTCTGTTGGATCTTTTGGTTTGCGTAATATCGAATTAAGCGATTTTACTGGTTTGTGTGCTATATCTATATCTAACGGTTTCATTATTCTAGCTGTTATTTCAGAGATATTCCTCATGTATGGTAGAATGAATTTTCTTGTGGTCTTCGATTCGACTTTAAACACTTTTCGATGAAATTTTGTGGATAACCATTCTTTTTGAAGACCGTTTGTAGGTACTTTTCTTCCATTCTTTTCAACTCTGGAGTGCTACAATGTGTCTGAACTCTTTTAAACAATGTCTGCACACAGTTTCTTTTGTGAGTAATTGGATTATTGCTAGTGGCATAGTTGAGTATTTGATCTGTGTGCGATGATTTTCTATATACTTGTGTTTCTAAATTTCCTATGTTGGTTCTCCTGATTAAGACATCTAAAAATGGGATTTTGTTATCTAATTCTTCTTCTTCTCTTGTGAATTTGATGTCTTCAGATATGTTGGTTATTAATTTATGAGTATATTCTAAATCACTTCTCTTAATTATTACAAACGTATCATCAACGTAACGTATCCAGATTTTCGGTTTAATTATAGGTAGAGCTATTAATTCTTATCTTTGCATAACGGCTTCAGCTATTAATCCTGATATGGGCGATCCCATTGGTGTTCCTTTTATTTGTTCATATATTTGAGCATTGAACTGGAAGTATGTTGTAAGGCATAATTTTATGAGTTCTATCCAAGTTGATAATTGCGTTTTTGTGTTTTCATCACTATAGAGTAATTGTTGCATAGTTTCTGTTGCTAGTTTTGGACTAATTGAAGTATATAATGCTGTGACATCAGGTGACCAGAAAGTTTAAAATCCAAGTCAATAGAAAATGGTCAACACATATGTAAAGATAGTTACCAGGAGACGCAATTATATCACTCATGAAGAAATTTAAATCATTTCACTTTGTGCTAAATATGGCGCTGAAAGGGGATGTTGTTCAGAAGGACGACGAAAGCTTCGCAACTAAACCAACCAGCTCAGAGAACACTATTAGTTGCATACCAAGCACTTTGCCAGATTATACTCCTTGGAGAGCGATCAGGTCATGGATTTCCCAAGTAAAGCAGATGAATATCTAAGTGACTGACATACTTTTCACCACACACAAGATCGATAAAGCTGTCGCAAATCTTAGGCTTTTTAACACTATTGGTCCAGACGGTATATCATCCATTCTGCTGAAAAACAGTGGTGATCACATGAGTTTACTCCTACTCGAGCTATACTCAATTTAACTAAGCGATGGGACATACCCTACCTGCTGGAAGAAGTCTTGTATTGTACCTATCCATAAATACGGGCCTATAGCTGATATCAACAACTACCACCCGATCAACGTCACGTCTGTAGTTTCACGTATGATGGAAAAAGCAGCAGAGGCTCAAATCATTCAGTGCTTGCTCTCAAATGACCTACTATCCCCATCCCAGTACGGTTTCCTATTATTTATTATTTTACTTTTATTATTTATTTTGATAACAGCTTGATGCCACACCGTATTTTCAGTACAAGTATGAAAGTTTCTGCATGGATATCGGTAGCCCAAATTTTGCAGGCCGACCATAGATATCGGGTGTGCGTCGGTTTTCTGTTCTTTTCCTTGTGTCTTCCTGATTGGGTGATTTGAAGAATTTGGTGTTTTCTGATAGTGAATTTGTTTAATTTCTCATTATAGTCGGATCTATTCATTACAACAGTCCCATTGCCCTTATCAGGATGGACGAGGATTATGTCTTAATTTTCTTGAAGTTGTTTTCTGTGTTCCTTGGTCAGCAGACATCGATGGCTTGGTAGTATACGAATGTACTTGTAGCAGCTGTCGAAAAAGTGAAGCTTTGAATTGTTCGGGATCTTTTTTCCGAAGTAGATGACAAATCAAATGTTTGTGAGATTATATTCTCGAATTGGACTTTGGTTTATAATTCGTTGATTTTACTCGATACATTGCAGAATTTCGGACCAAGTGATAGGATTTGAATTTGAGTGAGAGGAAAATTCAAAAAGTTCAAGACCTATTTTTCAGGATTTTGTGGAAACAGCAAGACAGTTTCAGGCTTTTTCTTAGTCGTGTGGACCGGAGTATATCGGCCGTACGCAACGTCAAGTCCACAAACGTATTCTGGAACATTGTCCAACTTGGTTAACCAGAGGAGGAAAGAAGAATAGTAGCAGCTGAATCCTCGAACAGCTCGTCAACTCTGGACATCGAGCACCCCCACTTGCATGAATGCTTTACAGAGTCTCTCAATGCTGTGCAAGGGGACTTCGAATACGCCATCTGTACATAGCTGAATCATTGGGTATTTGGGATCTGAAACTGAACCTCTGCATTCAAAAGCACTACATACATTCTCTCGCCCTGCCCTGGCTAGAGTAAAGTTCTTACTATAATTCTGATTCTTTCTCTTTTTATTATGTAAGTTCACTGTTATCATTAGTATTGTTATTACGACTATTATTTTATTATCATTATTATTCCGATCATCCATATTTTATCATCACTCATTTTATCACTGTTTATTAATAACATTGCGTTTTCATACAGAAACACTTTATCGTCTTTCCACTAGTTCCTATCCACTGCACACAATCATATTGATTAGTCATTTTCTCACACTCATTAGTTCAGGCCAACTTCTACCCCCTTTTCTTACTTCCAGTTAGTCAGACCTTCTAGGTTACATCTTACATTACAGAACAGGTTTTTTTGAGGATAAATTTTACCAGTATCTGATTGATTGGTCTTATGATTTCTTTGTTAAATATAATTACGATTTTACAGCAGCTTATGAAAATGAATCGTCGAAAACAAAAATTTTCTTTGCTGTTTGTGCGTTTTTCTTATGACTCAATATGGAAATATTTCGTTCAATAGTAAAAATCGTCCGGGAAAAATTCAGATATCACAAAGGACGTCTAATATTATCAGAAGCACTTCATCATATCAAATGGAATCCATATTGTCCGAACAGGAGTGATGGATTAAAGCAGAATTCGACCTAGTTGCAACACCATCACCATTCCTCTCATGAATTGACTAAATCAACACAAATGTGATAAGCAATTTCATTATGTAAACACACACGCTGCTTTTATAATTTCATACGCTTATCAAATACAACAATCTACACTTGGTTTTGTTGTGTCTTTCTTTACCAACTGATCAATTTGACAATATGAAAAACCACCTCATGCTGAAGAACGATGATTAAGTTGCAGGATTCTTTGACGGACAAAGCTTGTTTCTAATTGTGATAAATTAATCAGAAATTATGTAGAGAAACGTGAAAATAAAATGAATAATATTAGTAGTGATTTGTGATGACAATAATAATAATGTTGACATGCATGTCAAACATACACGGGATAATGATAACACCAACAATAAGGAATCAAAATCATCAGGAGTAATTCCATACAAGAGAGGAACCTCGGAAACATTAGGCAGAATTCTTAATAAGGCAGAAATAAAAGTGACATTCAAACCAACCACAAACTCAATTAGAACCAAACTTTGTCAGTTAAAGGAACAATCCTGTGGAGCCTTTAAAACAAAACAATTTAGTTTATCTAATACCCTGCCTGCGATGATTGTCAGGTCAAACTAGTAGAACAGGGGCAGTCAGATTAGCCGAGCATAAAAACCTAGCAAAATCTGGATTAGTTGACCCGAATAAGATAAGAAATCTAGAGAATAGTTCAGCTACACCACTCACTACATGCAGTTACATACAATAGGATGGATGGGATAAGATGACAGTTTTAAAATCTAATGTAACAGCTGGGTGGAGGGAGAGGTTGTTAACGGAAGCTTTGTTTATCAAATCAACTGCAAGTACGTGTAGTAGTAATGATTCAACACCTGTCCAGTCGGATATCTGGAAAATTCTACTACCCCTACGGCGACAAATAGGAGAGAACAAAGAAAACTATAAAACTCAAGTTTCGAATTCGTGTGATTATAATTGATATGATTATAAATCTCGAAACCTCGTCACCCAGTGAAATAAAATACTGTCACTGTGTGTGTGATATATCTAATATGATTTAATAATACTACTTTGATAAAGCTATTAGCAGCATTAAAAACAGAGAAACGTCAGTAAAAACAACAACAGTATCGTTTCGTTTTTCATTCATTGCGAATATCATACACCCAATGCCCAAATTATTATTTTTTTCAAACTGCTAAAAATGCGAACTTGATTCTGACATCTAAACAACAACTGGGCAAATCTTAAACATAAAAATGGACGCGAATAACAACTGTGTACTTAAATCAACATGTAGCCGATTATCTTCAGCGACTATCCATCCAACTCCCGACCGAAAGCTGCTACCTTGACGTGCTGGTCCGGCTTGAACACCGCAATGACCCAACAAGCTATACTGGCTGGAACTTATGTTCCTGCAGGTCCTACCATGCCAGGAAGGTTGTTCGGATAGCGGTTAGACTAAAAGCAGTTACCCAACCCAATCCTATGACTTCAAATAAATCACAAAATATCATGCCGGATCGGTCGGGGCCCGGATTAACAACGACCGCGCTTCCTGCTGCGCTGTCACAGGGCAGAAGTGATAAATACGCTACTGAGACACACCAAACAAGAAAGAACAAACAAAAACAGGCCGCGTGTGACCGGCCTCAAGCAGTTGTCCCCTGGGCTCTGCGGTCACGCAACCAACTTCCACGGTGTGGGCAGCCGGGAAGTAACAATCGCCCTCACAATCCGAAATGCGCGCGCGCGAAACCTCTCTAATCCTCACTCATCTATTATCTCCATCCAACTATTGCAACTACTGTGTAAAAAGACAAGACAACAACAATCAACAAACATATTTTATTCAATTAATTTCAATAAAATGTGAGTGAGACAATAAAAAAAACTAAAGAATAATTTAACCCGGAAAAAGGTGGGATGAGGAGGCGGAGGAGGGGGAGGAAGTGATCGATCAGAATTCAGCGCTAATTTACACACTACAAAATGAAGAAAAATCCCGCATTCGAACATTAATAGACAGCAGACCAGTAGTAGTTCAGGGACGAGTCTTTTTTCGATGTATGAATAATGAAGAAAAGCAAAGAGAGCAGCAAAAGCGAATCAAGCGATTTTCTTTTAAAAATTATACAAGCATGATTCTAATTTGTTCCAGAAAGCAAGCAAATAAGCAGACAAACAAAACATCAAAGTCTCGTCTCAGTAGTAGTAGTAGTTGTTGTTGTTGTTGTTATAATGGTACTTAGTAGTCATGAAAGAAGTTGAAAAAAAATATACAGAAACACCAATCAGAACTGATTATAATTAGCAAAACAAAAATCTGAATAATTAACACTGGAATCAATTTTCGTATGTTTCATCGTCCTCCTCGCCATCAACTGTCACAATAATATTCATCATTTATTCATGTTACTCGTACTGTGCGAAAGACGAGAATATACTGCCAGGTTCAACTTTTGATTCATTGAAACAAATTATCTATAATCATTAAATAAAATAATATAAATATATATATGTGTGTGCGTGTGTGAAGAGGAAATTTAAGATAAGCGCATATATAACTATACTTATATATAATACAAGATAAACCTCGTCCAGATTTGAAAGAGGTTACTTCATTCACTTATCTAGCGAGCATTGTCTCAACTACAGGAGGAACGGACGAGGATGTCAAATCGAGCGAGAGTTAGCAATTTTTTATCTACAGAAAAGTTTTAACGAATTTGCGAATCTCGCATGATGTCAGTTGATAGAAAGTTCCAAACAATTAGTGAACAATGCTCAGAAAAATAACGCTATTATATAGTCTGTACACAGGGAGTTCAAGTTAAAACAATGTAAATGTATGCATACAATGGCAAAGGAGTTACGTAATAAAGACAAGAGATGCGTAAGATGATGAGTAACTAATAAATTGGGGAACGCTGTACTGAGTTCAACTGAAATCATTGAAACAGCAGACAGGGACAATTCAACTATATCGGAGGAGGTGGGGTGAGGTCAAAGCCAAAGATTACGCAATCAAATGAAAAACATATTAATGAATGACGTCCAGTTACCAGATGGGCAAGAAAAGACTGATAACTGCTTCTTTCTCAACGCATAAATCGGCTTTCAGGGGTATGATAGAGATTGCTTCGGCAAACTTGGGGAGAATTGAGCTGCATTGGCTGTTGATAATTTTAAAGGATATCGCGACCTCACCTCATGATGTGTGGCGAGGAGATGCCTAGTAATGGCGCTATTGTAAGCGTTTGTTCCCTTGAGATGTAGGCTTTTCGGTACATGTTCCAAGAATCGGAAGTGCGCCCTTCTTTCTGTTGTCCCAATTTAGCTGCTCCCGCAGATACATGTAGATTTGCATACACAGTTGGAGTTAAGATAAGGAGGGTATCTGTCGACTTTCGAATGCACAATGTCGTACAATGGCTGGAAGATGGTTGTCTCCAGAGGTCTATTTACCCACAACCAACATGGAATGGACAATACCTACATTTTAATAGTTCTGTCCAAGTAGCTTCAAACGAGCATCAGTCAAGAATCTGTACTGTGAAGCTAGGAGAAAATACTCTGCAGAGAAATTAGAGTAGGATTTCATGATTCTCCGTAAGATGTTGAAAAAAATCCGTTACCGTCACAGATTTATCAACAAAAATGGAAGATGGTTACAGGATTTCATCATGAGCTGACATCGATAAGAGAAGTATTGGAAAACCTGGGAGTAGTGGACAGCTTTTAAGCCTTAGTTTTGGACTCCTTGGCAGTACGCACCCTGCTGCTGCTGCTGCTGCTGGATTCAACATAGAACTTGGCACCGAAGTGCAACAATTCGAGTTGCCACGTTCCAAATAGCACACAAACGTAGACAGGAAAATGAGAGAAGAGAATCAATAGAATTTAGATAAGTATAAGAGTGAAACACAATGAGTAATGGTAGAAAGGAATATGAAAGATTACAGAGACTGAATACATCTGCGTAAGCCATTGACAACGATTTTGAGCCATGTCACCTATTGTCTGTCTCCAGCCATTGATTCTTAGAGTCCCGAGGGCCCCAACCCGGAAGTGTGCATCTCCCTACCTGACTCAGTTTAACTGACAGGGATTTCATGGATTGATGAGGCCATGTTTTTGTTTGGCCACCACTTACTCTTTTCCAACCTGCACCTATATCAGCTAGTAATGCCCGTCAGTCGGGGGAGACGATGGTTAGGCATGCGCAGCACATGACCTAGCCATCTCAATCTATGTAACTTCATAGCCTCTTCGAGTGATTTTCCCTCTTTGCCCAACACTCTACGCCTAACGTCAACATTACTTACCTTATTATACCACCTAACGCGAGAAAGAGATCGTAAACATCTGTGGTCAAAAACAGACAATCTCTTCATGTCTTCCGCTCTCAATGGCCACGTCTCACCGCCTTAGAGAAGGACGGGGCGAACTGATGAGCAGTACACACGTCCCTTGGTTGACAGCCGGATGTCACGCCTACGCCAGAGACGGTGTAAGTTAGCGAAAGCAGCCCGAGCTTTCTGGATCCGTGCTGTGATTTCGTCACCAATCAATCCGTTGGTGCTGATACAACTTCCCAAATAGGTGAAGTGGTCAACATGTTCTATCACTTCACTCCCTATCACTAAGCTAGGAGTTGACGTAGTCCAGTCCTGTAGCAGCATCTTACATTTTACAGGGGCGAATCGCATGCCAAACATACGAAGATTGCTGCTCAAGGTGTTCAGAAGACTCTGCATTTTGTCAGCGTCCTCTCCTAACAGGACTATGTAGTCTGCGTATTCTAAGTCTATAAGACTATTCCCTGGTAACAAGTCGATTCCTAAGTCGTTAAGTTCAGTTAAGGATACTTCCATTAGCATATCTATGATGAAGTTAAACAGAAAAGGGGAAAGTGGACACGCTTGACGGACACCACTGGTTGTTATCAGTTCAGATGACAATTCCCCATAAGCCCTGACACAGTTACGTGAGTTTGAGTAGAGTGCCTTGATTAGTGCAATGTACTTTCTTGGCACTCCCTTCATAGTCAAACATTGCCATAGTACCTCTCGATCCACGGAGTCGAAGGCCGCCTTCAAGTCAAGAAATATGGCAATTGTTGGACGCCTAAAAGTGTGTCTATGTTCTAGGATCTGTCGGAGAGTGAAGATATGATCTATGCACCCTCTACCTGGCCTAAAGCCCGCTTGATTTTCCCTCGTTTGTTCCTCCCGAGTTCGGCTTAGTCTGTTCATGATTACTGAGCCTAGGATTTTAGAGACTATGTTCGTTAAGCTGATCCCCCTATGATTATCACATGACGACTTGTCTCCCTTCTTGAAAATCGGTATAATAAGTGACTTACCCCAGTCTGATGGAACCGTCTCTGATTCCCAGACGTTACCTAGTACCTTAGTTAAACTATATACTAGTATGTCACCCCCACATTTAAACACCTCCGGAATAATTCCGTCGGGTCCTGCCGCTTTGCCTCGTTTCAAATTACAGATAGCTTTGGTGACCTCACTTACAGACGGCGGGCCAGTGTCTATATCCCATTCGGGTGTGTGCCGGATGGCGGGGAGGCTCAGTGTGGCTGTAGGCAAGTTAAACTGTTCCTCGAAGTGTTCTTTCCAGCGTTCGAGGCGTCTATCCTGAGAGCTAATTAAGGAGCCATTTTTCTCAGAAATAGCCTTCTCCCACCCGTTTCCCTGATGAGTCTAAAGAGTTGCCTAGTGTTGCCTATCGCCGATGCTTTTTCCATCTCCTTCGCCTTTGTCAACCACCACTGTTCACGGCCCTTGCGGAGACTTTTCGTAAGCCTCTTTTTGTGCAGCTTTCGCTCCTCATTGAATTCGGAGCTCGCCGGAATAAGTCTTCTAGCATCTATCAGTTCGGATGAGGCAGTCGAAATCCAATGGTTTTTACTCACCTTTGGATTTACCTTATTCACAGCTTTTACAGCTGTATCTATGGCTGATTGAATATTCTTCCAGGCTTCTTCAGGGTGAGCACAGCTGTCGAACTCAGATATGTGTTTAGCTAGTTCTTCCTCAAATAGGGACTTAGTTTCCTGATCGAGCTGGGGACGTGATGGGTTTACCGCTAGCTGTTTCCTACGTCCGTTCAGTCGTAAGCACACACGAGCGCGGACCAGTGCGTGATCGGTATCTACACACGTGTTCCAGAGGGAGCGACAATCTCCTACCGACCCACGCCAACGATAGCTTATTGCTATGTGGTCTATTTGTGTCCAGCGTTGGTTTGATGATGGAGGTCGCCAGGTCAAACAGTGTCTCTCCTTGTGTTTGAAGTTAGTGCTTACAAGAAACAAGTGATTATCTGAACAGAACTGTAGGAGACGGTCACCGTTGTCGGTTCGCTGGCACGGAATTCCGTATGTGCCACCGACATTCTTCTCAGAATGACACAATTTCCCCACTTGAGCATTAAAGTCACCAGCAAAAACGACTATATCTAAGCGTTTAGCCTTTCGTAGCAAACTAGACAGCTTTTGGTAGAACTCATCCTTCGTTTCATCCGAACTGCAGTCAGTGGGGGCGTAGGCGGAGATTACGAAAAGGCATCGGCGACTAGTGCAGTCCTTTCTCCTTTTCACTGATCCGTTCAGACGGACAGCACACATTCGGCTATCTACCGGGATCCAATCAAGTAATGTCTTTTCTGCCTTAGTACTCAGAGCTATCCCAACACCAGCTAATCCTCGTGAGCTAGCCGTCTCATCTCCTGACACCCTCAAGGTGAATTTTGCATATTCATCCTGTTGGCCAGGTGGGGTTAGGTGAATAACCACACTTGTGTCTTGTATGCGTGTTTCTGGAACACAACATACATCAATGGCTCGAGATGCCAGAGTCTTGGCTAGTGATGCCTGTTGTCCTATTTGGCAAAGTGTCCTAAAATTAAATGCCCCTATATGAAATTGGTCACGTGGCTTTAGGAGACTATTGATGGTGGTGTTTTGCCTTCCGTCGTTTTCAGTGCACACAGAGTGAAGAGGAAGTGAAGAGCCATTAAGTAGAGGAGTTGCATCAGTAGAAGGAAGGCAAGATAATAGAGATGAAGACAAAGGTGAGTGAGGATTAGAGAGGTTTCGCGCGCGCGCATTTCGGATTGTGAGGGCGATTGTTACTTCCCGGCTGCCCACACCGTGGAAGTTGGTTGCGTGACCGCAGAGCCCAGGGGACAACTGCTTGAGGCCGGTCACACGCGGCCTGTTTTTGTTTGTTCTTTCTTGTTTGGTGTGTCTCAGTAGCGTATTTATCACTTCTGCCCTGTGACAGCGCAGCAGGAAGCGCGGTCGTTGTTAATCCGGGCCCCGACCGATCCGGCATGATATTTTGTGATTTATTTGAAGTCATAGGATTGGGTTGGGTAACTGCTTTTAGTCTAACCGCTATCCGAACAACCTTCCTGGCATGGTAGGACCTGCAGGAACATAAGTTCCAGCCAGTATAGCTTGTTGGGTCATTGCGGTGTTCAAGCCGGACCAGCACGTCAAGGTAGCAGCTTTCGCTCGGTACGCACCCACTAATACATGAAAACTGATCTGATGCTTAGTAGCGACTGGTCCTATTTAAACAGGGATTCTAGTGGGAAGTCGTGACAAGTAGGTCGGGTGTGATAACAAATACTCGACGAAGACATTGGATAGAGGTTGCGCTATATCGTGAATTAGAAGAAGTTGGAATTCATGGACTGGCCATTGGATCGGGTCCCAGTGGCTTGATGGTCTACGAGCTCGCCTTGTAACCAGAAAGTCTTGGGTTCGAACCCCCTGCAGTGGGTGCGTACTGTGAGGAGTCCCAAACTAGGACGAAACACCTGTCCAGTACTCCAGAGTTTCTCAATGGTTGTCTAACTCATGTCAGCTCATGATGAAATCCTCCAATCAATCAATCAAATCCCTACAAACCAATACTTGGAAATATGGAAGATATCAAGGCTCAAATGTACAACAAATCACAATGAGAAGAAAAGCCTGTCTTCATTCATTTCCATTTTAAAGATGAGCATATTACAAGAATAGTCAACAGAAGGTCGAATACCTTAATAGCCAGAACACATCCTGCAGCTAAGTTGTTCCCCGTCTATCGGACAACACATGCTCCTTGATACAATCAAAAGTCGACAGATACTGTCGTCATGTCAGTGCTAACTGTGTATATACAAATTCACATGCATCTGCAGTAGCAGTCACACTGGGAGAACAAAGAGACAGGAGCACCTCCGATTTTCTGAACATGTACCGAAAAGTCTACGTTTCAAGGGAACAAACACTTTCAATAGTGCCATTACCAGACATCTCCTTGATAAGGGTCAAGAGGTGGACATCGCAAATTCCTATAAAATTATCATTAGACAAAGGAGCTCAATTCTCCTCAAGTTTTCTGAAGCAATCTCTATCATACGCCTGAAAACCGACTTATGCGTTCAGAAAGAAGCAGTTATCAGTCTTTCCTTGCCCACCTGGTAACTGGATGTCCTTCGATTACGTAATCTCTGGCTCTATACCTCTTGTCTTTATTACGTAACTACTGTACCATTGTATACATACATTGATTTTTTGTTTAAACTGAGATCATGTAGAAATTGCTGGTATGTTACAATTGTTTGTGAACATAATTTTTCAGACATCCATAAAACGCAAAATAATTGGACAAAGAATATTCTTTTCGATAATTTCATCTTCTCGCTCTACAATTATATATATTTTTTTATTCATAGGATATTCTAGAATAGTAGTCAATGACAATATTAGTGTTATTTTAAATAATATCGATTTGGTAAGTAGGATCACAATGGAATTACAGTTCATTAAAGAGGCTTAAATTATGATAATAATAATAAACATATAGCAGCAAATAGAATATCAACTAAAATTATGAAAATTCCACAAAAATTCAGGATCATTCAAACCTGGATGGCTAAGGTAAGGATAATGTCTGAATTAACTTATTTCGGATGCACAAATTAGGCTTCTTAATCTGGATCCCAACAGCCAGCCTCAGCAATATTCAACAGTCGAACTCTTTAGGCAAAATTGAGATTTGTTGGTATGCGGTAAATGACTCTGAAAGCCACCTACCTGGTTAACATCAATCTTGTGTTCTGTATCCACAAGATGAGATAGAATAGCTCTATGCATAGATTTTGTTTGTCCTTTACTTAACCACCACTATGCAGGGTGATGTTCGGAAATCCGACGAGAAACCCGTCTAATTGTACAGCCTATGTAACTGACTGGCTCCACAGGAGCAGTTAAATTTGGTAGATAATTTTTCAAATGACTGCTAGTTTGCGACGAAATATCTACATTATAACATTATTCACAAAATACCTAAGAAATACATAATCTGTTGTTAATTTCACCCTGAATTTTATGCTTCAATTATGTGTTTTTTTCCACTGATACAATGAAAAGTTGTTTCAATATCAATTTCCTCTAATGCGACAATTAAGAAACACCTATTCTGCAAATTACGCTAACTGTACTGACAACTACCAATCAGAAAACATTTCGTTCCATATCAGATTTACAAAAGTGTGTAGAACTTCGGGGCACTGTGGTAGAATCTAATTCCATATTAGACCAGTTTATTTGAAAAACCACAAAGTGATATTCAGTAATAAAAGTCAATCTGAACGAAGAATATCCTCCTGAATCATTTTTCCTCTTCAGGTTCTTACAGTTATAAAATGGAATATTTGTTGTTTTTAAAATAATGACAGCCAATTATGCAGCGGATACATTTTTAACGTAGAATAACAGATTAGCTCAGGGAGTGACAAAATAAATAGTCGCATTTGTGTGACAAACGTCGTGCTAGGCTGAAATCAATTACAAAATATTTCGGTGAAATGGGACCTAGTGGTGGTGATTAGTAGTGAGTCATAATAGATTCTTAGAATGTGGGGTAAGAGAAATTGACAAGTCAGTTCAAGGTTATAAAAGGTGTCAGGTGAGTGAGTGGCTAGTACAATATAGTATGTATTAAGGAAGAGATAGTAAGACTGAAATGAGAAGCTCATCATGACATAACCAATGTGTGAAATGGAACAGGTGGAGGCATATATTGAGAAAAGAGATAATACCACTAATAATAATAAGTCCGATAGTATAAATGGAAAATTCGATGGTATTCAGAGAATGTTCAAATGATGGGTATAAATTTATGACGAATAATAATTATAAGCAAAGAAAGAAAGAAAATAACCAAGAACCTTATGGGGAATAAGCACTCCTGTTGAGAAGAAGAATCATTCATCTAAGTTTGGCTAAGGTAGGGACAGCGTCTGGATGTGTTCTTTTGGATACAAAGTTCCGGTGTAGTCGATCTTATTGCAACAGCTTCAGCTATGTGTAGCGGACGTAAGCAAACTATACATGATAACGACTTCGGAATTCGGTATATCACCTTGAAGGTTGTGTTGGTGTCAATTTTTCGCCGCCCTACCCCATATTCTACGAATCTATTATGACTCACTACTAATCACCACCACTGGGTCCCATTTCACAGAAATATTGTGTAATCGATTTCAGCTCAGAGCACGTTTGTCACACAAATATTACTATTTATTTTGTCACCTCATAATATATCTGTTATTCTACGTGAAAATGTGGCCGCCGCATAACTGGCCAATATTCTTAAGACAACAAATATTCCATTTTATAATTGTAAGAACCTGAAGAGGAGAAATTATTGAAAAGAGAATATTCGTCGTTCAGATTGACTTTTAATTCATGATGTGGAGATATTTCACACCATTAAACCTTTTATTCAGTATTAACAAATGGATGACGTGTTTTGAGCATGAATTATTCCTCAAAATCATATTGTGGTGGTGGTGTGATACAGACAATGGGTTCCAACAGAATTTTATTCTCATATAGTTAGAATCATTGTATTTGCTGGTGTAACACCAACGTTTGAATACTATTTTCACAGGTCAATATTGCAATAACAACAATTCCTCTACGGGCAATGTCAGCTGAAATAGTATGGATCACGTTGGAAAAGAGTTAGCCAGCCAGTCAGTGGTGGTCAAACCAAAGCCAGAAAACATGGCTTCGTCAGTCAATGAAATCCATCCACAGCAGTTAGTTTAAGCCAGCCAGCCAGTCAGTCAGTCAGTCACGTAGAGAAATGTAGACTGATTGGCTGGTTGGGATTCTCGGGACAGTAGAAACCAATGAAGACTTGAGACGATTGGTGATATGACTCAAAATCGTTCTCACTCAATGGCTGGCACAGATGCATCTACTCCCTGTGACTTATAATACCCAATAGAACTATTTGGTTCTTACATCTTACTATTGTTTTTGCCTCACATCTCTGTTCACTATCTCTATTTTGCATTTGTTTTTACTTTCTTCTCTTGCTTTGTGTGCTACATGGAGGGAGTGTGGCGACTCGAACTGCTGTACATCGGTGTAAAGTTCTACATTGAAAACAGACATTAAGAGAATAATGTATATGTTTGAACATTATATTTCATGTCGTTTAATGTAATCCAAAATCACAAGCTCAGTGATTCGTTAAAGAATATGCACTGTATATATACACATAAATAGCTGTTTGATCAATTGAAAGTATACTTTAGCTTCCGTGTCTTGCCTTCTGCTGTGACAATACCAATTAAGTCACACAGTTTGACAATTTGTGTTAAATGTACATTTTATCTCTTTTTGTCTTTCCAACTTGCCTACCTTTGTTGTTTGTTGCCAATTTCCATATCTCCGGTATAAGCGGTTGCAGGATTTTGATTGCACATGTGCGGTGTGAAGACCCAATAGATCCAATTAAGAATAATAATACAAATAATAATTCACTAAGGCTGTAAAGACTCTGAGGTCAGTCAAATAGGTCAACGTAGGTCAGCCCAGAATGATTGACACCACAGTGAAGTTAAATGACCTAGAAAAAAGCCAAGTCATCGCACTGCACTGCATTGCATCATTCATTTGCATGTAATATAGTTAGGTGGAGACGGGGAGAGGTTAATCACTCAAGCCTTGTTTATCGATTGAACATGGAACACATGCAGCATTCAGAATGACGCAACACCGCCTACGATACCGGAGATATGGAAAGTGCCAACAAACAACAAAGGGAAAATGGACAGACAGAGACAGGGAAAGACAGAGAAAAAGTGTATATATAAGACATAGTATGAAACCGTGTAACTAAATAATAATATTATTATTATTATGAGTAGCAATAATTCATGCAAGAAACGTCATCATCCAGTCGTTAATACTGTTAATCACTCTGTGATATTCCAAAATTAACTTATCTAATACGGAAAAAAAGTGAATGTAAATGTAGAATTTCAACAGAAGTTCACACAAATTTAGGTCAAAGATTAACCTCTCTTCTACGTGAAAATTTGGTGTGTATAAATCCTTCAACCAATTCATGATGTTACAATACTAGTTTTAAAGCAGGAATTATACAATAATAATAATAATAATAATAAGGCAAAGTTAAACTTTAACTACCACTAACTACTAATCAACAAATGACCTCGAACGCACCAATCACGCGAAGGAGGAATTTTTGTGTATGGAATACATATATTTTTATGAAATAATGCATAAAAAACTGTAGAAAAGTGTTTCAGAGGATACCTTGCACTCACATGTGATAAAAATAGATCTCAGTTTTAGGTTGGAGTATCAACAGAGTATAATTCCACAGTGTGGGTAAAATTTATTCTGATAAAGTCTCACAGTAATATTTCCTGAGCAATAGATTCTGCTCAAAACGTTGTCATCAGTAAATATTACTACTGTATTACACTGAGAGTTTATCGAAATAAATTTTACCCACAATGGAATTATACTCGACCACCACACTGCACAAGTTCTATTGTTATATAAACATGCATTATATGCATGTAATTTTATTTAGGTCTTCTAACCCTAACAATAACCCCAATCTTTGCTGAACCTAATAACTCTAGCGTGAAAATATCCCTAAACTAACTGTAATCTAACTCGAACCAACCCTAATGTCGCCTCTATTAGGTTAGCTCAACCCTAACTTGTCCTTGGCTTAAAGAGGAACTTAATCTTTCTCAAGCCTAAGCTGAAACTTGCCAGAAATCCCATGTAATTGCATAACACTTCGATAAGCATATTTTTTTGATAATGACAACGTTATTTCCCAGGTTTCACTAACTTGCTCAGTGAGCGTTTGAAGGTCATCGGTGCGGTCGCACTCTGTTGCTAGTCAAGTCAGTGGTGCTTAAAGTTTAACTTGGTCAGTAATAATAACAGTTTTTTAAAAACTTACTCGACCGCGATTAGCCTGACGAGAGTAAACTTTTAGAAAACATGTGAGCAATTGACAAAACTCTACATCTTTAGATACAATTTCCACATCCTCGATAATGATACCGCATAAAAACTTCTGTTGCATAAGTAACCAGGATAAATGTGTTATAAAGCCACCTGAGGGATAGAAAAATAAATGGTAGAGAATATAAATTTATGTGAATGATATGTAAATAGACTTCGCATATATTAGAGAATCATTTAAAAACCCAAAGAGGAGTACTAGTCAGCGCTGTTTTGTCCTTTTTCGGGACTCTTCAGCACTGACAGTCAGTGAGCACCCATTCGCTCCATATCAGCATGGATCCAACCCAGGACCTTCAGGTTACCAAGCCAACATTGTGCGTCGGTGGCACAGCGGTTAGGATGCTCGCCGACCATGTACATTGTCCGGGGTTCGATCCTCGGCCACCGACGCACTCCTTTACCTCGCTAAGCCACTGATAGAACTGGCAAAGAGGGGAGGTTGGGCATGGGGCTAGCAACCCTATCCTGTAAAAATAAACACTGCTAAAGAAACTTCAAGCCTAGCCTAGCTTGAAGCCCTATGTTCCACTGAGAACGTGAAGGAATAAAAAGGAAAATTGTTTTTCTCGCACACCATTGAATATAACTCACACTCCCACTCCCACCCTCACCCCAGTGAAAATTACATTCTGTTCACTATAAACAACATGAGTATGTGTCACTCTTTTGTCAATTCACACTTTAGAACAACACATTCAAGTGAATAATATTGTGCTTTCAACTCGATCTCATCAGATCTAATTAACTCTAATATACATAATTTTACAAATAAAATCTCAAATATACACCAATCACAGTGTAAGATTGTGCATATCAGATGTGCAATTAGTCTTATTAATAGCAATGTGTAGAGGAGTAGGATAGTAAACTACATTTTTTGGACATCTTACTAAGTGGGTGAGAAGTTGGGTTACTTCGGAGAAGAGTGTATAGAAAAAGCACATTCACAGGGCAGTACTCACACTTTCATAGATACGTGCCTATTAAATATAAAAGAATTGTTGTCTGATTAGCAGAACAAGAAAGATATGTACGGATGACCGCTTGCAAGCGGAATCCGAATACATCCATGATTCACTGACGGAGATCGGATGGATATCCGATTAGTTTCATAAAGGAACATATAAAACATTGGAGAGAAAACCTGAGACCACGACTGCAGGTAAAATACCTCCATTTATTAAGTTACAATTTAATCTGTGACTTGTAAAGTGAGATTTTGTTCCAGAGACTTTTCAGCAGTATATGACGAACTTTTTACGCAGCATACTTATGTTTGTCATACTCTAACCAACGAATGACTGGTACGCAAACGAAGGATAGAGAGCTAGATAGCTTTGCCACACACCTTTGTGCATTTATCAATTCAGCTGCACCTGTGGTCATAGTTATGTTGGGCGTATTAGCAGACAGCTTAGTCAACGTGTCACTACTGAACATCTACCATCATGGTTTGCAAAAGGAAGCAATTCGTAGTCCTACTATTTTGTCACATTTAGTTGATAGTAGTCACGTAGTGGGTAAAGTAAAACGAAAGTTTTCAAAGTGGTGATTTGTCGCATCCAACCGAATCTTTCCAATGGACTTCGCATTACTCTTGTTCACACAGCTAACGTGATAGGCATTCGAACTATCAATTATAACGTTTTCGTATTTCCCAATGAATGAATGAAAAATAAAACGATATTGTTGTTTTTACTGGCGTTTCACTGTTGAATGCTGCTAATAGCTTTATCAAAATATTATTAAACCAGAATTCACTACAAAATCTCAGCTTATATACAGCAATATCGTTTTGTTTTTCATTCATTGGGATAATTACTATTAACCAGAGTTTGTGTCAACTCTCTTTCTTCCTCATCAAATGTGTCTTCGGCCGGTATTCTTTGGATTCTACTGAAGAGGCACCTCACTTACTAGGGCTCTTTTGTACCGAACAGGGCAGAAACATTACGTCTTCTTATTGTTCTGTTTAAATTACTATTATAGAAAAAAATATGGCGAGCCAAGTTTACTTCTATCATATACAGCAGGTTCAAGGTGAGGACAGTTACTCATCGAAGAGGACATTGCGAAATGGTCACACTATATCATGAATTAGGAGAAGTTAGATATCATGAACTGGTCATTGGATTACGTCCCAGTGGCTCAATGTTCCACGAGCTCGCTTGTCTTGTAAAAAGAAGGTCATTGGTTCGAACCCTGTCGGTGGGTGCGTACTGATGAAGAGTCCCGAACCAGGCTGACGAAACAGCTGTCCAGTACACCCAGCTTCTTTTCCGATGGTTCTCTAACTGATCTCAGCTCATGATGAAATTTTCCAACCAATATATACATACGAAACAAAATCAGATTACATTTAAAAACTGAACCACTTGGTTAGCTGAGTTCGCCGCACTTAACTCTAGAGAACAAAAATAACAAGTCTGACGATACCCCGATAGATATTCTACCTGAGTACAATACCATCAAAAGAGAAAAAACTTGCCTGAATTTGTTCTCACGATATCAGTTTCTGATAGGACTGACGGATCGAACGGTGGATATGCAAAAATCAATGGACGCCCAGTTGAACTTTTCTCACCACCCGGCCTAGAAGGCATATGAACAAAAAAAAGTTTAATTTAAAACACAAAGCTTGGTACAAAATAGGCGCCAAGACGATGCACTATACAACAATAATGATAAAACAACTCGTGAACAAAATGGGCAGAGAATGAATACAGAACTCCATCTGGGATGGTAGCTGTTTTATTTATCAAGATGAAACAGCATTCGTCGAATTATTGTCAGAAGGGGAAGAAGAAAAAAGGATAACTGCAGCACATTCGCCACTGATTGTCATTCTTGGCCACATCCGATAATGTTTCAAGCTATCTTTCGGATCTTTAACCAGGGAGTCGTGATTTATCAACCAAAGCTAACCTACCACAAATATCCTTCATCCCACAACGCCACGTCATGCACTGACCGACCAACAACCTTTCCGCTTTTTCCATCCCGTCCTAGGGCTAGGCGAACAGAGATTTGTATGGAAGCCACTGGGATGACATTTGTAGTATATGTCCAAACCACTGAAGCCGGTGTTTCCAGATGACGACACTCAGTGAATAGTGCCTTCCAATGTGTCCAAACACACAGTGTCTAACCTAAGAATTACTTACATGATGATGTCGTCGAATCATATGCTCATCAAAGTGCAGCTCCACTCAACATAGTCGAACAAAGCATAGAATCGCAGTCAAACCTCACTCTACCTCAACTTCTTTAATCGACTTCAAGAAGGCCTTCGACAGTGCACCATTGACCGAGAAGTAATTTGGAAACTACTGCAACACTACGGCGTGCAGTACCCAAATCTTTATCAACCTCATTCAACAGCTGGCTGGCCGGCTGGCTATATGACAATGTCACGTGTCAGGAGATCCACAACAGAAAACACAGTGAGGCGTTCGAAATGAACACAGGAGTCGGTCGGTCGTTCGGTTTTTGACATAGAACTTTGCACATATGTGCGGCAGTTCAAGTCGCCACACGAACACAGGAGTAAGACAAGCTGACTGTCTATCATCACTACGGATAATATTCTTAATTGTGGTGGACTGGATTATGCGTCAGACTGTGCACAGGGAGCGAGGAGACAGGAGCACGCTCGATCATCGATGAGGAGACTCTAGAAGATCTGGATTATACGCGTGGATGATATATGTCTAGTGTCACACAAACTTGAAGACTTGCACGCAGGCGAAAACCAACAAATTGACTGAAGAAGTGGCCACAGAAGACAGAACTCCACCGTAACATAGAGAAGATGGAGGTGATGAAGATAACCAACCAACCAACCAACCCACCAATCACTGTCGACCGGAGAAGTTTGAAAGAGGTCATATCTTTCACTTATCTGAGAGCCATACTTTCAACTGCAGGCGACACCACGAATGAGAATTTCAAAACCACAATGGGGAAGGTGGGACAGACTCTCATCACTTTGAAATCAGCTCGACAACCTTCTGCACTCCGCAGCATACACAACAAAATTAGGAATTTTAACGCCAATGTTAAGTCAGCTAGTCAGCCATTCCCTATAATATATGAGTCTGAGACTTGGAGCGTCACGAAAAACATACCCTAGAGGCCATTGAAGACTTTTATCAACAACTACCTTCACTTAATGTTGAAGACCAAAGGCAGGCCAGGAAAAATTAGCAACAAGAAACTCTTGGAACGAGTTATCCAGCAATTTATTGACCAACAAATATTCCGAAGAAAATGGAGATGGACCGGACACACATTGAGGAGACTGAAGAATGATATGGCGCACAATGCAGGCCATCGCTCGAGTAGGACCCGAACGGGAAACGATGAGTTGGGCGGCCGAGATTGATATGACGGGGATTGTGAGAGGAGCAGATGAGAGACTTTAGGCAATCGTGGACCTAGATAAAGACGACAGCAGAAAAAAGGAACGAGGTGGAGATGCGTTGTTGAAGCCCTGTGTTCCACGCGGAACCCAGCGAATAATAATAATAACAAGTGAACAAATTTTTAAAGATGAATCAGTACAGACCAGTAAATATAATTGCAGAAGGTATATTATACACGAGAATGTTACCAATATAAAAAGTATACAAATATATATATATAACCAGTAAAATGAATTTACTCACTGAAATGTGAACGTAGAATGAGAACGATTTGTAGCTGTAGTCATTGGTGTCTCAGGTGCAATCCACAGCACACACGTAATATCAGTCGGAGTAGTACTAGTACTCGGTTTCCATGAACTACCAAAATTTTTGGACGGAGGGAAATTCCGATTAGCTATCAACAGGGCATTGGCTAAATGTAAGCCAACACGTGATCGACCATCACATGATGACAAGAGTAAAATACAATCATCATCATTCTTCGCTGCTTCCATTAACAGGTTAGCCTGACAATTTAAAAGATTTAAAACTAATAGTTACCATCTATAATGGAGAATATTTATAGCTTAGGTGAATGATTTTCACATTTAGTTGTGTTCTGTGAACTGGCTGATTTAATTGCACAGCTTTCATTGTCCTGCTAGACAACATATCCATTCAGCGCTAAAAATGATGACAATGAGAGAATAACATATGGAGCTTTTATATGTAAGCGAAGTTCAACGATAGCGTCCCAGAAGTGCGAACGCTAAAATGACCTTGAACGCATGCTAGTCGTTGGCCTACGGCACCACCTGTCATTATCATAGCTGAAATATCAATGCTATTCACCAACTAAGCAGCAACTTTCACCCAGATCACCTTTTCAAGTACTGTTTGGACAATGTGTTAATAGCTCGCTCGCTAGGGTTAGGATTAGGCTTAAGGTAAGTATTGGGGTTAGGGTTAGGCCTGCGGCTAGGATAAGGGTTGTAATTAGGGTTAGAATTAAGGTTAGGTTTACGATTAGGGTTACATTTAGAGCTGATGTCACTTATTCGAATTTGTTTTATTATCCACATTTTCCTGGTGAATAATCATCGATCCTCTTACTGGAAACCATAGTAATTCAACCGAGGCCTTTGTAAAACAAGATACGAGAGATAAACGATGCACAAAAGCAGCTCATCTTCAGTCACCTCGGTGAATACATGTACAGAAACTAGTGTAACTAACTCAGCAACTGATACTCCCTCCTCATTACACCTAGGACGTGTTTTTAAGTGATGTCAGAGAAAGATACCCTGTTTAATGTGTTTTCATGCATTTTCTTGTCAATATACATCATTTTTCATGCAAAAATTCCTCATTTTATGATTGGTCGGATCAAGGACACTAGTGCGTTCACATCGTTTGGGATGCTATTGTTGAACTTTGCCTACCATAATACATAATGTCTATATAATCACTATGACGTAAAGAAGTCTGAAATAACCAAACTATCGATATAAACTCCCAGTTATGAATATCACAGTATTTTTTTACTCCTTCTAATACTTACTCAGATTTAACTATTATTAACCACTTTGAATTCCTAGCGGCAAACAGGGCTTTAACAGAAAACCTCCACGTTGTCCTATTCACTGAAGTTACACTAGAAGGATAGTGTGGCGCATAATGTCACTCGAAGTTCTTCGCATTTCTACTGCCTCATCCGAACTGATTGACGCAAGACGACTGATTCCGGCGAGCTCCGATAATGATGATGAGGAGCAAAAGCTGCTCAAACAAAAACTAACAAGAAGTTTTCGCAACGACCGGGAACTGTGCTGGTGGGGGGTGACAAAAGTGAAAGAGATGGAAAAGGCATCGACGATTGGTAACATCAGACAACTACTTAGACTTATCAGGGAAACAGATGGTGGAAGGCGAATGATGATAAGTGAAACAATCTGTGAGGAAAATGGCACCATAATTAGCTCTTACCATGGACGCCTGAAACACTGGAAAGAAAACATTGAGGAGAAATTTAATCGGCCTGCAGCCATGCTCAACTTACTCAGCATCCAATACCTACCTCCCTGAATCGGATATATACACAAGTCCTCCGGCCTTAACTGAGGCTACAAAAGCCGTTACTAGTCTGAAACGAAGCAAAGCACGGAGACCTTCTGGAATGAGTCCATAGGTGTTTAAAGATGGCGGAGAAGGTCTACTGTTAGCATTAACTAAGGTATTAGGCAGCGTCTGGGAGTCAGAGGAAGTCCCATTGGGTTGGTGTAAGTCATTGATTATTCCGATATACACGATTGGAGACAAGTCTCTGTGTGATAATCACAGGGAGATTAGCTAGCTTGACTAATATGGCATCTAACGTTGTGGGCTGAATAATCAAGCGTGGACTAAGTGGTGCTCGAGAGGCACAAATACGAGAGAACGAGGCAGACTTCAGACCAGAAAGAGGGTGGGTGTATTCAACAGATTCTGCTGTTTGTGCCTTTTTCTTATGACTCAATATCGGAATATTTCGTTCATTGAAGATTCTGGAACATAGGCATACTTACCGGCGTTCAACAATCGTCATATTTCTCGACGTGGAAGCAGCATCCGATTCCTTCGACCGACAGGTACCATGGCGATGTCTCACTGTCAGGGGAATACCGAGGAAATACATCGCACTGACCAAGGCACTCACTCTACTCACACTCATGCTGCGAGCCAGATGAGAGAGAGCCTACGGAGGGACAGTTGTCATCTGAAGTCGTGACACCAAAGGGTGTCTGTCAGGTATGCCCACTATCCCCATTTTTGTTTAATTTCATCATAGATGTACTGATGAACTTAACTCTGACCGACTACTTCACCGACTTAGGGATTGACTTGTTACCATTAGGGAATAATCTCGTTGACTTCAAATATGCATGCGGATGTTATAGTCCATTTGGTGAGTGAAGACGCGGAGGGAAAGAAGAGTCTTCTAAACACACCTTAAGCAGCTAGAAATCTTCGAGTGTTTGGCATGCGATTCGCTCCTGCTGTCAAATGGAAGCTGATACTGCAGGTGCTATCCAGCTGGCTGTCGACCAAAGGACCTGTGTACTGTTCAGCAGTATGCTTCGTCCTCCTTCAAGGCTGTGAGTGAGACCTGGCCATTGAGAGTGGAAGACATCAAAAATCCGGCTAGCCAGCTGTCTTTGATCATAGGTACCCGATTTCTATCTCCTGTGTAAGGTGGTAGGTGTAATAGGGTGAGCAATATTGAGGTGAGGTGTCGGTCGAGTGCTAGTTGGGTAGGTAGGTAGGTAGGTAGGTGGGAGGGAAATCAATCGATGAGGTTGTGAAGTTACACCGATTGAGATGGTTAGGACATGTGTTAGGCATGCATTGCTAGCCATCGCCTTCCTCGACCGACGGACAATGTGAGTTGAAATAGGATGGATCAGGTTGGAAAATAGTTAACCAGCCAGTCAGTCAGTCAGTGGTGGTCAAACCAAAACTAGCCAACATGGCTTCGTCAGTCAGTGAAATCCATCCACAACAGTTAGTTTGTGCCAGCCAGCCAGTCAATCAGTCACATTGAGAAGTGTACACTGGTTGGCTGGTTGGGGCTCTCGGCACCTTAGAAACCAATGAAGGCATGAGACAATTGGTGATATGAAAAAGAGAAGACGTTCAGCGAAGAGACTCTTTTCGCCGGCGAATTCATTCACATATCTGTACAATCGCATTTATATATAATTATTTGTGTATGTGTGTATATGTGGTTTGTCAAGTTTAGATAATACAAGACTGATCTAGTATAGAAACAAGGTTAATTAGACAGACAGCAACTAAAGTAACATTGAGTTAGTAAGTTAGATCACGCAATATAATTGACTAAAATGTTTCAATTCAGGTTAGGATAGCAACAGAGGTAATTACAGGTAGAGAGAGACTAAGTAGAAGTGGGGTAGAGAATAATGCCATTTATATTAGAAGTGAAATTGAGCAAATAAGTTGGATGACGTAACATAAATGACTAGAAATTGAGCGTTGGTCAAGTCAGTAACAGTGGTAGTGAGGTGTAGAAATTAAATCGGGTGGGGGTAGAGAACAAGAAGGTTGAAAACGTAAAATATTACAGTTGAGAAGACAAATTGATACTAATGAAGAGACAAAAAAAATATTAGGTAGAATTTACTTGTCGGGTAATAAGATAGATTACGTCCATTGCAAGTGTAGTGATTGAACGAACTTCTTCTGTATGCAGAGTTCAGGACTTAGCAAGTGAATCGCCATTGCTTCTGCAGTTTGAAGAAGTCTGATTCGTACACCTTTAGGAAGACTACTTCGTATTCTGTAGACGACTTTGAAGTTTGTTTGGGGTGTAGCTTGGTGTCCGGAATCTATCAGATGTTCTAATATGGAGCTGTGGGGGCATCGTTTTTCTCCTTTGTAAAACCATGTTGGTTAGTGTTCGGTGATACGTTTGGAAAGTGAACGCTGGGTACGGCCGACATACCTGGCTCCACACGAGCAGGTGAATTGGTAGATACACCTTGATGAGGCCAGCAGTGGTAGCTTATCCTTCACGTTCACATGAATCAAAGGTTTTGTCGCGAAGATTAGTCGTAGTTCACTTGCGAAGAGGATCTTCTTAAGTGAGTGCGACAGTCGATTTTTCAGTGTTTCCGCAGATATATCTTCATTGAATTCAAGATTCATGTAGAGTAGTTTTTTCGGGACGCTAACCATGGGCGGCTTTTGTGGTCTAGGATTCATAGATTTTGCAATAAATCGTTCTGGATAACAATTCTCGACGAGGATTCTCTTCAGATCGTTCTGCTTATTATAGTTATTTTGAATCTGTCTTTTTTTCCTTTGTATAGTAGTTACATGAAGTGTGGCAACTCGAACTGTTATACTTCGGTGCAAAGTTCAATGTTGAAACTAGTCAGTCCGTCAGTCAGTCGATCACACCATCAATACATTTTGACTTTTGTACACAACTGACTTTCTAAATGCAAATGTGACTGATCAACTTTTGAAGTTCACTTGGTTTTATTTGCTCAAACAAATTTCAAAGGTTTTTGTTTTTGAAGGTTGTTACATATTTACACATTGTCACCAAACTCCAACTACTACTACTGCTACTTCAAACAGCTCAAGCTAATCAATAAATATGTCCATTTAAGTACTGTCTGTTATTACTACGGGGTTTATAATCCATTAAGCCTAAATTACGTATATTATAATTACACTACCGAGTGATGAACTGTTTAATTTTTGTATCCAATGCACGGTCCCTTGTGATCTATATACTCATTTCATTTGATTTTTATCACACTGCTAAAGTTGCTACACATCTGAGAGTTTCACTGAATCTTAGATCAAATCATCAGACAGGTGAGAAATTGATTTGTAAATAAATAAACAGGCGGTCAAAACTGTTCCACAATTTGTAATATTGATGCTTATCCCGGACTACCTTCTGAAGTCCACCTAATAATATCTGCTGACTTGCACATGATAGATATAGATTCGATCTCTACCTGTCACAGCTAGGTAATATTCAGAAATAAAAATTTTGTAAATTTGATCGTGACCAGGAGAGACACAGTCAGAGATCAGTCAGTTCCTCTATATGGGTCAAGAAAAAAAAGCTATTTCCAACAGGTCAGTCACTGAAGACTTTTATCAAAAGCTGCCTTCGCTGGCTCCATATATTCAAGATCAAATGGTACGCCAGAAAGAATTAGGAACAAGAAACTCTCTGAACGAACCAATCAAGATTCTACTGTTCAACAAATATTCCGAAGGAAATGGAGATGTATGGGAAACATACTGAGTTGACCCCGTTGAGTGATATGGCACTCTCCAGAGTCACGACTAGTGATGTCTGTCAGGGATGCTCATTATCCCTATTTCTATGCAATGTCATCATAGATGTACTAATGGATTTAACCCTAACTCACTTCAAAGACTCAGGGATTGACTTGTTACCAAGGAATAATCTCGTTGACTTAGAATATGCAGATGACATAGTCCTTCTAGGCGAGGACGCTGACAAAATTCAGCACAGTCTTCTGAACACCTTGAGCTGCAATCAATCTACGAATGTTTGACATGCGATTCGCTCCCGCCAAATGCAAGATGATGTTACAGGATTGGACTAAACCGACTCCTAGATTAGAAATCGGAAGTGAAGTGGTAGGGCACGTTGACCACTTCACTTACTTGGGAAGTACCATCAGCCAACGCCGACGGGTTGATCTCTGTCGAAATCGCAGTACGGATACAGAGGGCTAGTTTCGCATATGCCCGCCAGTTTACGCCGTCTCTGGCTTAGTAGACGTGATATCCGGCTATAGACCAAACGATGGGTGTACTGCACAGCAGTCCGCTCCGTCCTCCTTTATGACTAGCTGTGAGCGAGACCTGGCCATTGAGAGTGGAAGACATGAAAAGATTAGCTGTCTTCCATCATAGGTGTCTGCGTTCTATCTCCCGTGTGAAGTGGTATAATAAGGTGAGCAATATTGAGATTAGGCTACGGTCGAGTGCTAGGTAAGGAGGGGAAATCAATCGACGAGGTTGTGAAATTACATCGACTGAGATGGTTAGGACATGTGTTACGTATGCCTAGTCATCGCCTTCCTCGGCCGATAGGCAATGTTAGCTGATAATATGGGGACAGGCTGGAAAAGAGCTAGCGGCGGTCAAACCAAAACATGGCACCAGTCAATGAAATCTACAACAGTTAGTCTAGGCCACGTAGGAAGGTGTAGATTTCCTGACTGGTTGGGGTCCTCGGGACGGTAAAAACCAATGGTTGGAAACAATTGGTGACATGGCTCAAAATCGTTCTCAATGGCTGGCGCAGATGCATTCACTCCTTGTGACTTGTGATTTCCAATGAAACTGTTTTGCTCTCCGTTATTCCTATTCCTTTGTCTCACACCTCTGTTTACTGTCTATATTGGGCATTTCTTCTACTTTCTTCTCTTGCTTTGTGTGCTAAATGGAGGGAGTGTGGTGACTTGAACTACTGCACAACGGTGCAAAGTTCTATGTCGAAAACAGACAGACAGACAGACTCCAGAGCCATCCCTGGAGTGGAACCCGAATGGGAAACGACGAGTGACATGGATGAAATGAGAGACTATGGGCGACCACGAGGCCAGCTAAAGAGGATCGCAGAGAAGAGGGCAAAATGGAGACGTGTTGCTGAAGCCCTATGTGTTCCACTCGGAACCCAAGGGAACAATAATATATACTAATAATGATAATAATAATAATAATGACCAGATGAATTTTCTGTATTATATTGAACAGGCATATCACTCAAGTATTAGCTTACCTCCGCATCAGTAAATTTCACTGAAGGCCATACAGGACACAAAACTTCTTGACACGAGCGACGATATTCCCGTAGTGGAAGGATATAATCGAAACCTATTACTGAGCTTCCATGGATTTTGGCAGTTCCCAATTTATGCTCTTCAGAGTTTAAATGTTCTTGCATCGCTGAACGAAATACTATCGCTTCACAATCTTCACATCGATAGAAAATACTCTTTGAATCACCGCCATCCAGTAATGTCTAAAAAGGGATAATAAAAAAACTGTTTAACAAGTGGGGTAAAAGCATCGTGACCACATTGAGAGAGAAATGCTTTATTTAGACTGAAACAGTGAAATAAGGATTCACATGGGATGATGAAGATATAAATCAAAAGTGATTCGAAAAACTTTGCAAATTTCACACCAACCGTATCACATATGAACTACTTTATAATTAACTATATCAAACAGAGAGAAAAAACAATCACTTCACTCAACAAATTTCAATTCCTACACGTTAACTAAGGCAAATTGATTTTGTATTTCTAGTTTGAAAATAAACTGAGTTATACTGTGAACAGAGAACCTACAGAGCATATTATAAGATGGTTGGGGGCAATCCGGCCAGAGGAAGCCTTGCTTGCTTGACCTAAGCTTCAATATAGACAAAAAAAATCCTCATTTAGACATTTAGAAAACAGAAAGATTGAGCGAAGAAATATTTACTTTTCAATTAGATCCTCATCTCTCTCTGGCTCTACTCTAATATACATCTAGAGCATTTTTATTATAATACACAACAATTTATCAATCAAGTGGCATTGATATGTTTGTCAACAATAATTAGTCAGTGTCAAAATGTCAATGGGTTGATAATAAACGAAGAAAATCAATACACATTTAAAAGGTAGAAATGGATAGAATAAATTAATTTTACAAGGATAACACGTAATTAAACATGAAGTGGTCAGAAAAAAATAATAAAATAATTTGGACAATAATAACTTTTATAATTTTAAAGGTTTAGGGGGAGGGGGGCGAAATAGTCCGGTTTATACAGTCATGTAACGATGGCCAAGGTAAGGAAAGTGGCTGTACACACAGGTTTGGCTTCTTCAGGTGGGTTTCTATTGCTTCAACTGCCTGTAGAAGACGAACTCGTGGAGTAAAATTAAGATTAGTAGGGATGCGAGAAATAATTTTAAATGCAGTATTAACGTCAACCATATGCTCACTATCTACAAGGTGTGCTACAATAGAGCTATGAATAGATTTTGTTTGTCCTTTGCTTAACCATGTTGGATGATGTTCGGAAATACGATGATGAACCTGCCTAATTGTACGCCCAATGTAGGTGGCTCCGCAGCTGCAGTCAAACTGGTAGATACACATAGAAGAGGTAAATGTAGATAGTTTATTCTTATTTCTAGAACGTAGAATACGGGTGATAGTGAAGAGACAACGTACCTCTGCTGCATAATAAGCTCTCTTAACTGCATTTTTATTTCAATAATAACCCAGCGCCTGAAGAATGCAGTTAAAAGAGCTTATTATGCAGCAGAGGTATGTTGTCTCTTCACTATCACCCGTATTTTATGTTCTAGAAATAATTATTAACTATCTAAATTTGCTCTTCTATGTGTATCTACCAGTTTGACTGCAGCTGCGGAGCCACCTACATTGGGCGTACAATTAGGCAGGTTCATCATCCTTTTTCCGAACATCATAATTGTGTGTATTAATTTTCTTCGTTAATTGTCACTCCATTGACATTTTGACACTGACTAATTATTGTTGACAAACATACATATCAGTGCCACTTGATTGGTAAACTGTTGTGTATTGTAATAAAAATGCTACATATGTGTGTTAGAGTAGAGCCAGAGATGAGGATCTAATTGAAAAGTAAATATTTCTTCGCTCAATCTTTCTGTTTTCTAAATGACCTAAGTTTCGTGATTGTTGGTACTCTCACCAGTGAGCAAGGTCCCTCCTGAGATTCGCACCCGCATCACCCAGTTAGATCTGCAGTCAGAGACATTACCACTGAGGTATTCGGGCCCACGATTGACCTCCTGTGGGATTGTATTGGACACTTTGATTAGACACACTAGTCATTAACTAATATCAATGTGTCTAGTCCTTTGTTTTGGTGCAGACTGAATTCTATTGTCAGTCAAGTTTGCTATGCGGCCACCACCATGCTAGGTGCCTCAGTGGTAACGTCTCTGACTTCAGTACAGGGTGAGACGGGTTTGCATCCCAGAAGGGACATGAGTTCTTTCAAGATTGCACACACGCCTTGCTGACTGGTGAATGCGAACAAATACGAAACTTAGATGAAGAGAGGCTTCCTGTGGTCGATCGCCTCCAACCATCTAATATTAAAAATTCACAGGGCACCGTGAGATGCTGAGCCACATTGCAAAATTGACAGGCTGACAGAATTCAGCCTGCACCGACACCGAGGACTAGCTGGACACATGATAGTAGTTACTAACAAGTGTGTAATCTAGTTTACAAGGATATATATATATGTGTATATAAAGCACACATATGACTTATAGAAACTATATCTAAAATGTAACATTTTATTACAGCAATCCCTCAGCATCTTTTCGTTCTTCGAAAGTTATTTCCCGATCGACATAGCTGCTACCTACTATGAAGTGGTGATCGCACTTGCACAGTCAATTATCCAACGAGCTACAACACTACCAGACAGTCAGAAAGTAGTAAGTATCCTTGCAAATCCCACCAAGTGTGTTTATTCATTATTTAATCCCACCTGGCGAATAGAATGAATCTGGAAAATTTCACTAAACACCTATCAGGACATTCTTTGGTTACTTCATTCACATGATGACTTACATATGTAGTGATAGGCATTGGAAGATAGGGTAGAGAAATCCCTACTTGACTGGATCTCAGGGGATACTTGCTTGTATGTGTGCTGCTCCATCAGAGCACAGAAGGAAAGATTACACTACTCATCGATATGTTTTTATAACATCCAAATACACATCCTGACACACTGTAGTTCACACAAAGCAAATAATTTCTACAGAAAGATGTTTCGTTCACTGACTGACTGATTTCAACACAGAACTTTTCACCGATGTGCAGCAGTTCGAGTCACCACACTCCCTCCATTTAGTACACAAAGCAAGAGAAGAAAGTAAAAACAAATGCAAAATAGAGATAGTAAACAGAGATGTGAGGCAAAAACAATAGTAAGATGTAAGAACCATATAGTTCTATTGGGTATTATAAGTCACAGGGAGTAGATGCATCTGTGCCAGCCATTGAGTGAGAACGATGTTGAGTCATATCACCAATCGTCTCAAGTCTTCATTGGTTTCTACTGTCCCGAGAACCCCAACCAGCCAAGCAGTCTAAATTTCTCTACGTGACTGACTGGCTGACTAACTCTTTTCCAAACTGATCCATCCTATTTCAACTCACATTGTCCGTCGGTCGAGGAAGGCGATGGCTAGCAATGCATGCCTAACACATGTCCTAACCATCTCAATCGGTGTAACTTCACAACCTCATCGATTGATTTCCCTCCCACCTACCTACCTACCTACCTACCCAACTAGCACTCGACCGACACCTCACCTCAATATTGCTCACCCTATTACACCTACCACCTTACACAGGAGATAGAAATCGGGTACCTATGATCAGAGACAGCTGGCTAGCCGGATTTTTGATGTCTTCCACTCTCAATGGCCAGGTCTCACTCACAGCCTTGAAGGAGGACGAAGCATACTGCTGAACAGTACACAGGTCCTTTGGTCGACAGCCAGCTGGATAGCACCTGCAGTATCAGCTTCCATTTGACAGCAGGAGCGAATCGCATGCCAAACACTCGAAGATTTCTAGCTGCTTAAGGTGTGTTTAGAAGACTCTTCTTTCCCTCCGCGTCTTCACTCACCAAATGGACTATAACATCCGCATGCATATTTGAAGTCAACGAGATTATTCCCTAATGGTAACAAGTCAATCCCTAAGTCAGTGAAGTCGGTCAGAGTTAAGTTAATCAGTACATCTATGATGAAATTAAACAAAAATGGGGATAGTGGGCATACCTGACAGACATCCTACCTACCTACCTAACTACCTACCCAACTAGCACTCGACCGACACCTCACCTCAATATTGCTCACCCTATTACACCACTTCCCACGGGAGATAGAAGGCAGGTACCTACGATCAAAGACAGCTGGCTAGCCGGATTTTTGATGTCTCCCACTCTCAATGGCCATGTCTCACTCACAGTCATAAAGAAGAAGGGAGTGGACTGCTGTGCGGTACACTCGCCAACCACACATGTGGTCCGGGATTCGATCCTCAGCCGACGTACTCCTAAACCTCACTAGACCGGTAACAAGGCTGGAAAAGACCGAAGGTTGGGTGCGAGGTTAGCAACCCTATGCCGTAAAAGTATTTCTTTTAGCATAACAGTGACCATTGTTTGAAAGTGTCAGCATAACATATATAAGGAGGGTATATAAAATTTTTTTTAAAAAGTAGTATAACACATACGTTTGTGGTTTCCAAATTTTTGCTGTCTGTTGTGTTGACATTTGATTTACTTTGGTGTTTACGTCCACCAATATGAGCGGCTAATTGCTCCCAAGAATTCATTTTTACATCACACGAAGAACAAAAGAGACTGCCATCAGGTAACAAAAATTTTCGCTTCATATCTGCATTAAAATATTTTGAGTTCGAATCAACAGAAACCATGTTTACAGGTGATTCATGATCAGGAGTTGAACTTGTCAATGTTCTAGAAGATGGCTTACACATATCCCAAGATAGATCTTTGGGAGACGTTGATTCAGGTGTGGTAAGTACTGGTAGTGAAACTTTCAATGGTTGGTGAATATGACTGACTGAGTTAGATTTTTGCAAACTAAGGCATTTTAAACGATGCTTTTTGCCTTGTTCATGTAATCTGAGAACATTTTCAGTATCACACCGCACATTGCAGACATTGCAAGCGAATTGCAGATTACTCATCTGAAAGATTCCACACACACACAAAAAAAAAGTAGAATTATTTTGAGGGTGAAAAACAGCAACCCTTTAAATCTAAATGTGAAAGGCCCTGGAACTTTCACTACTGAGGCTACGACAAGTAATACACAACCCATATTCTTAGCGTTTACTTTATTTACTGCAAATAACTCACATTAATAGTACAATACTGTTTGATAGACTCTGTGTGCAGAAACATTTGAGTCTTTACAATTATATCATAGTTTTCATATAATGGATCGCAAAGTTTTTAGCATAAGCCTACCACCACATATTACCCACTATATGCATTTTTCCATGATAGTAAACAATACATTGTAGTATTACTATATTCAGTACAAAACTGATCACGAGCTGACATCAGTTACAGAACTATTGGAAGACCTGACACAGTAATGAACAGCTGTTTTGTCCCAGTCTGGGACTGTTTATCCATCCATACTCACCCAACAACCGACATTCGAACCCAGGACCTTCTGGTTGCGAGAAGAGCTCGTAGACGGCTGTTAAGCTATTGGAACCCGACCCAATTCAGATTATTACTCTGTCATACTGTCTAGGTTTAGATATCACAACTGGGAAATATTCACTGTCAGTAGACTGATTAACAGGAGCATTCATATTCGCAAAATAAATCAATATTCACAAACAGCTATCATATATATTTATACCAACAAGCATTGTATAATAACTTTAGCAGATTCCAAACGCCTAAGGATCTATATTTCAGCTTTAGTTGATAGATAAGCAACAAAGAATCACATTTATCATCAGGCTTCTTAACCTTGCCCAGTTAACTAGCCTGCTAGTTCTCTAGCCGGTCCCAAGCCCGGGTAAAAAGGGAGGGTTGGGCTGCTACCTTGACGTGGTGGTCGAGCCTGCCTGCGTATCGCAACGAACCAACAGGCTACACCGGCTACACTGGAACTATTCTTCCTGCACGTCCTATCATGCCAGGAAGGTTGTTAGGATAGCGAGCGATTTGACTAAAAGCAGTTACCGGCAAAGTGTAAGCATTTCGTTTTTACACTACGCTGGAGGTGTGTGGGCAAACTCCTACTCCTGGGGAACAGGGATATAACACCAGTGAGGTGATGCCCATATGGATGTGGATTGTCAAAATTGTCAACTGGACAGTCAGTAATCTACTACGGTCTGGTCACCCAGACGACAACCATGAGCACAATGAGGCAATGAGTGGCCATCATGATGTCAACAGTGCCAACCAAATACCTAATGCAGTGGGAACCAAAATCATCCCGCCTGATCCTGACAGCATGATTCAACTCAAAAGGAAGGAAGGAAGGAAGGTCACAATTGTCCAATGCTACGCACAGTGCTACGAACAACGCGGAACAAGACAAAAAGGAAGATTTTTACAGACAACTACAAACAGTAATGGACAACATTTCGAATGGTGACATCAGAATCCTCATGGCTCGCTGGCTGGCTGGCTGGATTCAACATAGAACTTGGCACCGACGTGCAACAATTCGAGTTGCCACGTTCCAAATAGCACACAAACGTAGACAGGAAAATGAGTGAAGAGAATCAATAGAGTTTTGACAAGTATAAGAGTGAAACACAATGAGTAATGGTAGAAAGGAATATGAAAGATTACACAGACTGAATACATCTGCGTAAGCCATTGACAACGATTTTGAGCCATGTCACCTATTGTCTGTCTCCAGCCATTGATTCTTAGATTCCCGAGGGCGGGCCCCAATCCGGAAGTCTGCATCTCCCTACCTGACTCAGTTTAACTGACAGGGATTTCATGGATTGATGAGGCCATGTTTTTGTTTGGCCACCACTTACTCTTTTCCAACCTGCACCTATATCAGCTAGTAATGCCCGTCAGTCGGGGGAGACGATGGTTAGGCATGCGCAGCACATGACCTAGCCATCTCAATCTATGTAACTTTATAGCCTCTTCGAATGATTTTCCCTCTTCGCCCAACACTCTACGCCTAACGTCAACATTACTTACCTTATTATACCACCTAACGCGAGAAAGAGATCGTAAACATCTGTGGTCAAAAACAGACAACCTTTTCATGTCTTCAACTCGTATTGGCCATGTTTCAGAGCCATAGAGAATCCTCATGGGCGATATGAACGCCAAACTGGGAGCAGATAGTACAAGAAGAGAACTCATCATGGGTCGTGAGGCCCTCGGAGAAATGAAAAAGAAAGGAGAATTATTTGCAGAATTCTGTGCTTTCAATGATTTGGTGGTCGGAGGAAGCGTGTACAAACTCAAGGATATACACAAAGCAACATGGATTTCGCCTGATGGGCATACCACGAACTAGATAGATTTCATCTCAATGCTACTCAATGTGAAGCTGAAATCCTTAAGGACAACTGGAGACAGGACACAATTCAAGTTCAACATTCAGAAACTGAAGGACAAAAGTACAAGGGATGCCTATGCTACAGATCAGATCAGATCGGAGCAAAGTCGGACACACTACGTGGCATTACTGAGGACACCTGCGTGCAAGAGCATCGGAATTCTCTGAAGGCAATATTCAAGGACGTGTACAACTGTTCTAGGAAGAAAGAAGAAACAAGACAAGGAATGGCTCTCAACGGATACATGGAAGCTAATAGAAGAGAGAAGCGTGGTGAAAGAGATGACTCAATGCAAAGATGCACAACAGAAGGAGAAGTTGAGTTCAATGTACACTGCACTGAATAAGGCAGTAATGAAGAGTGCTAGGAGAGACAAAAGACAAATCTACGACACACTGGCAACAGAAGCATAACAAGCCGCAGGCTATAGAGATATCAGGACATAATATCACATAACCAGATATCTATCAGGAAAGAGATCAAGCCAGATGATGAAACCACTAGAAGATGGTCAAGGGAACCTGATTACCAAGGAGGAGAAACAAATGAAACAATGGGTTGATGACTTAAAAGGACTCTTGAATCGACCATCACCTGAAACTCCACTAGATATACCACTAACAGTACTCACGGAAATGCCTACCAATGGACACCAATCCTCCAACGAAACCTGAAACTCTGAGTGTGATCAAGCTACTGAAGTCCGGAAAGGCAGCAGGACCAGATGGAATCACCTCCCCCCCCCCACTACAAAGCACTGAAAACGGATCCAGAGACTGAAGTAGATGTGCTCACGCCATTACTGCACAAGGTTTTGAAGGAGGGAAGGGAAGGTAACCAACGATTGGAAGAAAGGCTGGCTACCACGTCAAGCTGCCAAAGAAGGGTGACATATGGATCCGCAAGAACTGACTGGCGTGGAATAATGCTCTTGTCAACGCCAAGTAAAATACTAAGTCGTGACATCTTGGACAGACTAAGAGATGCGCTGGATTGATATGACGGGGACTGTGAGAGGAGGAGATGAGAGACTATAGGCAACCGTCGACCCAGATAAACACGACAGCAGAAAAAAAGAACAAATTAGATCCCCAGAAATGACACATCTCAGGGGGGATATGAGTTCCTTCAAGATTGCAGATACATATGCCTTGTTCATTAGTGAGTACCAACAAATATTAAAACTAGGTCAAGCAAAGCTTCCTTCTTATAGCCTCCAACTATGTCATAACATGCATTCGTGTTAGGCTGGATCACAATGGATGTATGACTCATTCAAAATAAGAGTTCTCGAAATAAAGCTAAATATCACTTGTAGTAAATTAAATGAAACGTAGAAGAGCAATCATAAACAATTCAATAAATTCTAAGTGAATAAAAGATGCATGAGTCATATTCTTACGGAGTGATTCAATATAACATATACATATATGTATATATGAAAAGGCCTTCGACATCGTCGATCGAGAGGTGCTTTGGCAACTACTTCGCTACTATGGGGTCCCACCGACAATTATACATCTCATCCAACAGCTGTACGACAATGCTGCATGCCAAGTAATCCACAACGGGAAACTTACGGAATCCTTCGAAGTGAGGACAGGAGTAAGACAATGAGCGAACCAACCAGGGACCGATTGTGAAACAAGTAGGCAGGAAGAAATGGAGATGGATTGGCCATACTCTGAGGAAACCATCAAGTGACATCACTAGACAAGCCATTGCTCGAGTGGAACGCGAAAGGGAAGCGGCGAGTTGGTCGTCAGTGCAAGGGTGACTTGGAGGAGGTCTGTAGGGGACTTATATTAGAGTTCACTAGAATTACAAAATATGAGAAATAAAACTCAAGTCAATGGAATGTTAAGTAACAGTATATTACCAAAAATGCAACGAAACGTTATATCAACAAAAGGGTTACTTGGAAATAAAGTTTAAGTCCTCTGCTACAGATTATTTATATAACCCACGGAGACGTTAATTGTTTGGACGGAGTAGGTTGTAGCTGCTGTGTCCCAGTTGTAGAATTGTCTTCGGTTGAGCGTAGTGGACTTCTACAATAAATTCGAAAGATACAACACGGTGAGAGCTGAGCTAGTAAGCCGAAGAAACCAAGGAGGTGACGAAGTCTCCAATAGCACAGTGTATTTTACAATCGTACACGGAAGCCAAGTGTATTCCAACAAGAAGCGTTGTAAACAAAAATTATGTACAATATGTCTAATTTCTACAAATAACCAAAAAGTGTACAATCACATTGTTACGCACTCCACAGGTCATGTGAAGAGGAAATGAAAACGCGTGGGCAGACTTGGAGCCAGGTGAAGACTCTAGCAGAGAACCGAACGCAATGGAGACGCACGGCTGAAGCCCTATGTTCCTCTAGTAGTTAAAGGAAACAATAATATATATATATCACTGGGACCCATACAAATTCGATCGAAGGATTTTGATCACAATTTGAAAAACGCATGATGAGCTGGTCCAAAAAACATATCATACACAATCATTTCATTTAGACGAATATGTGCACAGAAACTGGTTTCAGATGTCATTATTTAGTATACATTTGCTCTAAGTACACTTTCCCACATGATAAATGCATGTTTCGTGGGACGAATTTGATA